GTGCTCTGACTGGCAACTTGCTCATTGGACACTGGCCGTGTTTGTATCCTTAGTATTATTTAAATAATTTGAAATCAGTTATTCAAAAGTTTGTCAACATTGGCTATGGATTCACATGTATTTCACCTCTCAGAAATTTGGATATGCGGTATTTTTTCAGAACTCTGGTGTTGATTCTGTCTTTAAAATATTTTTTCCTCCTCAATTATAGACTTTCAGGTCTCAGCTGTGATTTCTTGCTTCACTGGCAAGTGATGAGATTCCAGAAAGGTCTGATATGAGTCTGTGCAGCTTAGGTGCTACTTAGATAGCCATTCAAGGAGAAGAAGGGATGGGGCTATGGAGTCAAGTGGTTAACATGATTTATTTTTATTATGAAGCTATAATCACCAAATTTGGGGTTTATTCCTGAATGGAAGGGTCACAAAACACATGTATGTGATGCACCCTATAACTGAAAGAAGAAAGAATAACCATAGTTTATGGCTATAAAATATAAATCACAGCTATGTTATAATTATAAAATACACTTTGCCATTTGTTATATGATTATATATTATATTTGTTTGTGTGGTCAAAGTTGTTACACACTTTATTCCATTTGTCTTTATGAGAAGATGTTAAGGTAAGTGTTGTGACTATCTTTACGCTTCTCCGGGAAGAACTGTACTAATTTGCTGATGAAACACATTTAGTATTGAAGCTAAGATTTAAATTTGGCAACTCCTTCCTTCTAATCATCAAGAACAATCGTAGTTTCTAGTGATGCAAAAAAACTGAAAAAGACTTTAGTACCTTTCCTATGTTTAGAGAAGTCTCTTGTGGAGAGAGATATTAAATAGGTAACATGTATTAAAACTATAAATATACTCTAAATAGAAGCTATATATGAGATGCGAAGAGGCTGTTGCGGCAGAGTTTCCTGTCACATCAGCTCTTGTTCATATATTCATATAAGTCTTGGCATTATCTTATTATAGATCTCAATCTAAAATATCTGTTTGTGACATGATCCCAGAGTCCAGGCTGGGTTGTAGCCCAGGCTGTTTTAAAACTCACAATCCTGTTTCTTCCTCTGAAATGTGAGGAAACAGACATGCCATCATACACAGACAAACATGGTTTTAAATATTCCACTTATTTTACAAAAAGAAGGTTTTTCTTTTCTAGTGTGTGACACCATTCTGCTCAGAGAAAGCTGAACTAACTTAATCTAAGAAGAATCTCCTCTTTCATGATCAAAGCTCCCAGTTCTCCTTAGTTGCCATTCATCCACAGCCTGGAAGCTGGGTACCTTGTCATCCCTCATGGTATCTGGTCTTGATCGTCATTCCTGCTCCACTGTGTAGTTAAGCCTCTGTTATTCAGCCTTAAGGCTGTGTTAATCTTATCTGCTTTGTAAATCCAATCAAAGGGTGTTTCCAAACCAAATTTGAACCATTCAAATATGTTTAACCTACTAATTCCTTGTTGCATAGATAAAATGACTGATAAAGTATATATTAAAAAGTAAACCGTCTGTACTTGCTCTGTTCTAGCCTACTCCTTAAACTGTCCTTTACTTTACTTATATATAAATGTGTTATTTAATGATTAGCAGCTAATAAAAATCATGAATGTCAATATTCATCAGTCTGAACAATAATATGTTTTTCTGAAACACTTTAATGAGAACATCTTTATTTTTAAACAAGTTTTTATCTTATATTCATATTGGTGAATAATTTGCAATGATATGTAGATATTGCTACAGTCTGGGCTTTGAGAGATCTAAGAATTGTTAGAAAACCACACTTGGTTCTCCCTGCTTTGATTTTGATATGCTCTGTATGCATGCATGCTCATGTATTATGTGCCATGGTATGTATATATAGAACATGCAGTGTCTGTCTTTCTGTGTCTAGCTCTCCTTTCTTAATATGCTGACATCCAGGTCCATCCATGTGCTATAAATAATAGGAATTTCAATCTGCTACTGCTGAACAATATTTCCATGCTCATATATATATATATAAAACCATCTGAACTGACTCCATATTTTATCTCTAATAAACATGGATATGTTTGTTGGTTTGCTTGTTTTGAGACAAGGTCTCCCTGTAGCCTCAGCTGGCCTATAACTCACTATGGCTATGTAGAACAGGCTGTCCTTCAACTCACAGAAATCTGCCTGCCTCAGCTGAAATTGTGTGCCCAGTCCAGGGTATCTTTCGGATATAATGATTTCATCTCCTTTGGATAGCTATACTCAGTAGTAGAATTGCTAGAACTTAAAGTAGTTCTATGGGGGTGGTCATTTTGATCTTATTTTTAGAATGTTCATACTGATTTCCTTAGGGGCTGTACTAATCTGAACTCCCACCAACAGTGCAGACAGGGTAGAAGAGTTTGCATTTCTCCACATCTCACCACTGGTTACCTCTTGTCTCTTTGTTTACAGCCATTCTAATTGTGATGAGGTGGTTTCTCATTGTGCTTTTGATTTGCATTTCCTGGATGACAGTGAAACTGAAATTTTTTTCAAGCCTTCTTTGCTCTTCAGCATTTCTTCTAGGAATGTTCTTTGGCCTATTTAATTGGATTCTTTCAGTGGTGTTCAGTGTTTTGAATTCCTTTTACATTTTGAATATCAGTCCATGGTCAAGTGAAGAGATTGCAGAGATTGTCTCCCACTCCATAGATTGCCTCAATCCTGTTATTTTCTTTGCTATGCAGAAACCTTTCAGTTATAATCACATTAGTCTATTTTCACATTTTTCCCCTGGGCTTTTGAGTTTCTTTCTCAAAAGTCCTTGTCTACACTGAAATTTTGAAGTGTTTACCTCTATATACTTTGTAGTTTATGGTAATTTTGAATGATTTTGAATGATTTCAATGTGTATGGAGGGGAAGCATCCAATTTCATTCTTTTGTCTTGTATAGCCAATTTTGCCAGGATTGTTTGTTAGATTTATTTGTTTTTATTTTATGTGTATGAGTGCTTACCTTCATATATGTAAGTGTACCACATGAGTGCAGGTGCCCTCAGAGGTTAGTAGAAGACAGCAGATCCCCCGGAGTTACAGGCAGTTGTTAGCTGCCTTGTGGGTACTGGGAACCAAACCAGGATCTCTACAAAAGCAACACTCTTAAATGCTGAGCCAGCTTTGCAGCTCCTGTCAGGGGCTATTTGAGGAGACTATTATTTTTCTGTTGTATGTTCTCAGCATCTTTCCCGAATATCAGTGGGTTGTCTGAAAATGTGTGAAAATCTGTTGTGCTCCATTGTTTGTGATTCTGCTTTTATTCCAGTGACATGTTTTTTGGTTACCGTAACTTCATTTACCTTACCTTTTAAGGTCATGTGTTGTCTTGACTTTCAATTAGTTGATTAAATTATTGGTCATTTGTTATTCCATGTGAGTTTTAGGATGGAATGTTCCATCTCTGTGAAGAAAGCTACCACTATTTAGATGAAGATTCTATTGATTACCAGTTGCTTTGGCATTGTCCTCAACTTCACACTGTTAATTCTTCTCCATGGATATGGTGTAGCTTCCATTTTGTGTGCCCCTCATAGTTCATTTCTTCAGTATTTTATGCTTTTCATTAGAGTTCTTTTTGTACTTTTGTTCCATTTATTTATAAATATTCCTCTTTTGTATGAGGTGGTTTTCTTATTTGTTTATTTTTATGTGTATGAGTGTTTGCCTACATATATTTAAGTGCACCATGTGTGCAGTACCTGGAGAGGCCAGAAGAGGGCATCAGATCCCCTGGAACTAGAGTTACAGAAAGTTGTCAGCCACCATATGGGTGTTGGGAATGGGAATCAGGTCCTCTGCAAGAGCAGCAAGTGCTCTTAACTGTTGAACCATCTTTTATGTTTTCTTAATTTATCTTTCAGTAACTTTATTATTGGTGTATGATATGTGTATTAGTTATTTTTCTGTTGCTGTGATAGAAACACCATAACCAAGGGAACTTATAAAAGGAAGAGTTTATTTAGCTTACAGTTCCAAAGGGGAAAGAGTTTATCACAGCAGGGAGACATGGCACTAGAAGTGGCTGGAGTAGGAGCAAAAGCTAAGCTCTCACATCTTCAAGCAAGCACAGGAAGCAGAGAGTGATTGGAGATCCATCAGACACAGAAAGCAGAGAGTGATTGGTGATCCATCAAGGCTTAAGAACTCTCTAAGCCCACCCACAGTAATGTTCTTCCTCTAGCATGGTTACACCTTCTAAGACCTCCCAAAACAGCTAGCCCAACCTTAAAAAATCCCCATAGTCTTTACCAGTCTCAATACTATCCAAAAGTTCACAGGGTTAGGGATTTAGCTCAGTGTTCCTGGGTTCACTCCTCAGCTCCAAGAAAAAAAAGTTCACAATCCAAAGGCTGTCCTGAGGCTCAAGGAAATCTCTTCACTGTAAGTCCCTATAAAATCAAAAGACAAATTACATATTCCCAACATCCAGTCAAACAAAATACACATTCCCACTCTAAAAGGGAGAAATAGAGGCAGAGTGAAAGACCAAAACAAGACCAATACCAGACCAAAAACTCACCCCTTTTCCTTTATATAACGGAAGATCCCCCTGTCTTAGGTCGTCCCGGAGGGGTCATCCCTTACCCGTCATTGGGAGGCCTCATCCTTGTCTTAGGCGGGCGCCCTCTCCATGGAAGTTGCCCATCTACGGAGGCATCTTCAGCGTTTGTATAGCATTTGCAGCCAGACTGAGGTACCAGATGACAAGCTTAACAGGACTTGTTGAGTGCCCATCTGTTGAGACCTCGTAGATCTCATCCATCGGCAAAGGACCCAGAGCCCAACGACTATGGCACTAAACCCAAGAACGGTCAGTAACAATGACCCCACGCACTGCTGAGCCCATCTTCCCAGCTGGACCATGGCATTCTACCAACCTTCAGTGGATGTAGGGGGCACCCTAGTATTATTAATTCTTATAATTTGATGAGCTAGATGAGATGTAAAATTGAGAAAGGTTACATTCCAGGGACCTCTCATATAGGCATTTAACTATTTTACAATTTCTGAGGCATTAACAACATGACCAGGTGTTACACAAACAGAATGATAAAAATGAGAACAGGACACTTGTTGCGTCATCCATAGGGCATCAACCTGCTCCTGAAGAAGTGCTGTTGTAGTGACACAATCTCCCCACATCAAAGCATCTGGAAGATCGAAGTTAGTGGTCGAAGGCCAACAGCGAGGGGCTGGCTCCAGACCGTTTGTTCACTCAGGCCAGGATTCATCAAGATGATTGCTGCTGGCGCCTGTAGAATCAGCGTTGGTCTCATCAAGGTTGGCCTCCACTGGACGAACATATCTCCCAAATGGGTTTACGCTCCCCTAGAGGATAAACACAAACAGCCCCTCTCACCCTGGCTAATAAGGGTGTCGGCTCTTTCCACTGCCCGGATAAGGGATATTTCCATCTTACCCACCCCAGGGAGTTCTTGGCCCTGGACCAATGCCTTTCCATAGCTGAATACCCTTTGGTATCTACAGTAAGAAAATTTAAAGTAAATAAGATTGAGGATAATTGCGCACTAGGGGAGGGAAGATATTCCCCCCTCTTTATTTTAGTAAAATATTGTTTTAGGACCATGTTCATTTTTTCAACCACAGCTTGACCTTGTGGATTGTAAGGGATTCCTGTTGTATGGGTAATTTCATGCTCCTTGCAAAATTGTTGAAAATTTGAGCTTGTATATGCAGGCCCATTATCTGTTTTTAATTGATTTGGTATTCCCATATAAGCAAAGGCCGATATACAGTGGGCTATAATATTTTTGACTTTCTCTCCTGTATGTAAGGATGCGAAGAACACTTTAGAATATGTATCTACAGACACATGCATATATTTTAATGTCCTGGCTGATGGAATGTGAGTGATGTCCATCTGCCAGAGATCATTAGGTTTAAGACCACGAGGGTTGACTCCCTTAGAGGGCATGTTGTGAAAAGGAGCACAAGAAGAGCATCGGGTAGTGATTTGCAAAGCAGAGTCTTTAGAACAACCAGTATGGAATTGGAGGGATTTAGCATTTAAATGATATTTGGCATGCAGGCGGACAGCCTTATCCTCA